TAATGTAACATGCTAGTCCTTCAATATAACATACTGTTATTTACGCATTTTTGTTATACATCGTTGCCTTTTGGCCATATGACATTAGTTCTAAAATGAATAATTTATAAATAGCTCATCTCTATTTGTTGCCGGTTCAAGTTATTAATGGCTGCATATTCCGAGGGAATCCGTCGTTCCATGACTGTGTCAGAGACGTTCGACTCACACGCCTATCTTTAACTTCAATCACCATATCATGGCTGTATCAAAGCATACGTTGGACGAAGAGTCTGAGTATTTTCTTGACCTGATAAATGCGACAGCGGGAACTAAGCCACCCAGTGAATTGTCAGTCGAGGAGGCAAGATACCATGATGATGCCACGTCACGGTTATTTGGTGGTGAAATCGTATTCGATGGAGACATTAATGATATCAAAACAGAGCATAACATTGCCGGAAGTACGTACTACTCGATTTGTTTGACATTGGGTAGTTTCCGCCCTTGTTTATCGTTGTATAAAACTAGAACATGTGTCGTATCGTTGTATATACTAGAACATGTGTCGTATCGTTGTATATACTAGAACATGTGTCGTATCGTTGCATATACTGCAGCTGGTACATGTACGGGTGCATGAACACAGTGTGTTTCAAGATATAATTTATGACATGTAGGGCGGTTTTAATATGCTATCAGATTAATCTTGTATACACGTACAGTAAAATATGTTTGAACTACACAAGTCATAGACAACAAGAAAAGGGACTGTTCAAGTGTTTATATATATCTGCCCATCGGTGTTCGTGGTAGAGATTTCATTGCTGCTAAAACGGCATGAGTGGGGTCATTTTCACAACAAATGAACGAGCCGGGTCGTGTATGGTTTTACTCTGTACAAATCTAAGTACAATTGAGAAAAAATGTGTTGGTTGCACCGGTGGTGACACCAGACATGATTGCACCTTTGGTATTAAAATGAAGGTAACACACTTTGAACGTAGTGTCAATTTAAGAAAACGTGTAAGTTTGAAAAATTTTATTGAAAATTTCATTTTAGAATGTGCATTATAATACGGAATAGAGTTATTTTAAATGTAAAATAAACCAGAAAAGCATAAGGTAAAAATGTTATGGTTATCACAATAATAGAAAACTAACTATGGTCATGGAGTTCTCTAATTCGGCTTTTTGTGTGATACTATTAACGAAGAACGATACGACTCATAGTGCCAGTACCTATTTTAGTTCCCGTTTTTGGCGAAATCCGTCAGTCCATCCATCCGTCTGTTCGTCCGAGTCATTTCTCAGTCATGCTTTGACCACTGTGAACGTATATTTTCTTTCCCATTTGATTAAATATGGCTAACTGGCGACCATGTTGGTCCTCAAATTCTCATACTTAAACGTATCCGGGATCGTTTCTCGGATATTCAATACCAGAGGTTGTGTCATTTTGTGATTTGTCGGCGGGCATTTTGTCTAAAATCCTAAAATTGCACCCTGTAAACGTGTCCGACACCGTTTCTAATAAATAAACTGTAGATAAACTGGGCAATTGCACTCAAACTTTGTTTCAGAATCATGAATATTGAGAGACAGGTGAAACACACTTCTACAATACACCCATCATTTTCACGAAAATTTAGCTTGTGATCCCCACCTTTTTAAAGTAAATATCCTTATATTGCTCGGAAGTACAATTTATTGAAAAGAATGAAAAGCTTAAACTAGCAATCGTCATCTGCAAACGTGTCCGAAATGGTTTTTCAGAGACGAGGGTGATTTCATCCAAACTTTGTATCATCATCATGCATATATTACAAGTGCAAGGATATGTTGTCGGACATTTTCTATTATTTGTAGTAGTTATCTCTGTTTTTTCTGGCTCGCGTGATTTCCTTGAAACCAAGTACAATGTATGCAAATGATACTGGAATTAGGTTGCACATAATTTTTTTCACTGATTGGACCAACTATTTTCTGCTCATTACAGTAAAATGCCAATACAAACTCTGATCGCACCATAGCCACAAGTAACCCATGGTCATGAACCAATGATAGTAATGACATAACGAAGACTGCACATTCTCAATGTTTGTTTCGTTGATTTGTATTGGTAATTAATCAAGATAATATCATGTTCTTTGTGACAGAGAGTGTTTGTATCATCGTAAGAGTCTACAAACCCACTATCTGTCAAGATGACCCACCAATTTTGATATACTTTCATGGCGGTGGTTTTGTGATGGGTCAATTACACAGCGTGGAGACGACATGCAAAAAGATTGCCTGGTAAGATATTATTACTCACTACATTACTTACATAGATATTTTACTCACTGTTGTGAATGTAATCACATCACATTGACTCACCATATGAAATGCAGATCGAAACCACAAATGAGATATTGTTTATAACCTGCTCGTCTATTTTATTTTTCTCATCAGCACTTATGTGTTTTCATGTCAAATTGAACGTGTACTTATTCAGTGTATTCATGTGGCATTAATCTTTTCATTACATAGTAGTGTGTTTACGCCACGTCATTCGTTTTTACTATTCGCCGCCATCTTTTTCCTTTTACAGGGATAAACTCTCCGTGACTACCATTTATCATTTATCCCGCTGTGTGTATTTACGGTCGTTAAAGCACAGACAATTGTAGAGAATTTATTTTCACTGATTTTTTAGGGAGTTGAATGTAAAATATAGTAAAAACAATATTCGCTGGATTATTTTTTCACTGAATCATCCATCTATTTTTGTATCATTTGTTTTGTTCTAAGCTTATCTAAATGCATAGTGGTTAGCGTTGACTATAGACTAGCACCAGAGTACAAATATCCTACGTGTTTTTATGATGGTATTTGTACTACTAAGTGGGTGATTGGAAATAAGACTACCATTGGAGGAAATGAGCAAAGCATTGTGGGAGTATGTGGTAGCAGTGCTGGTGGCACCATTGCAGCGGTCGTTGCCATAGAAGTTCCAAGTGTCAGTTTCCAGGTATGTATACGTATGGGTTTGTCGAAAATATGAGTAGTGTATTGTACGCTATGGCTTTAGATAGAATATGGTAAATCGTCAATTGACCAAATCAGATGATATACCCTACCCACGTGTCCGAATAAAGAGTACGAAGTACTTATTATTTATTTATTTATTTATTTATTTATTTATTTATTTATTTATTTATTTATTTATTTATTTATTTATTTATTTATTTATTTATTTATTTATTTATTTATTTATTAAAACACACGTACAC